CTGAGGCTGCATTTGAAGGCCTTTTGTGTCGCAGCCATGAAACGAAGGCTGCCCAAAGGTTCCTCCAAATGCGGTCCACAAATGCATCATTCTTTTCCCCAGATTTTGAGGAAGGGTTTGGTGTATCGTTTGTAGATACTGTGTGTTATTATTTCTGATTATAATCAGACACTCTGAGTTGTTTGTGCAGGCTGAACATGAAAACAGTCTCCTACACCTATCTCCTGCATTAGCTTCTGATAGAAGATAGATGGTGAAACTCTAGGATTAGAAAAGCCTGACAGATCTACGTCACACTGTCACTTAACAGTCATGGACTCACCCATCTGGACTCAAGACGGGGAAGGCTGCTGTTGGTTTAGCATCCAGGAAACAGCAAAGAACGTCTCGGCTAGTAGAAGATAACCGTTAGCAATAGCAACTCCACCACACAACAGAACTCCTCCAGGCTTTTGTTATTTGTGGAGCTAAAACATCAACAAGTCAGTGTGTCATGTTGCTGTTAGAAAATCCAAAGCAAGATGACCAAATATCAGGAAATAAGACACCAAATCATTGATCTGGCTCACTTCTAGTTCCTGAAACTAGCTCCCTTTTCATTGGCTGCTATTTAGTGCCATCACAATTGTTGGCGACAGGATAAACACTTTAGTAAGAACCAGTATAAATCTGAAGGCTAGACCCTTCAATACCACAGCTGCTCACTTCTGGTCATTTTAGGTGGTGAAGGACCCTGTCCCTGCCTATGTAGACTGGGTAAGCCGGACCCTTCGAAGGATGTAACCCCTGAACCTGGACACAGCCACAGACTCATGTACATGCACTTATCTCTTCATTACTGTACATGCTTTGGGGTAATCTAATAGGGCTCTGAACTTTGATGTGTTTATTGTTTGGCTGAACTTCCACAAGGGTTATAAATAGAACTGGAGGTTTTACATCCCTTACTGTGATCTAAGCTTTCCCTTAAATTATTAGTTAATGGCTCAGTCTATAAAAACAAAAGAAACACTGAATATCTTGTCTTCACAAGGAGAGAACTTTCCAGATAGGATACTTATAAGAATGTGAGCAAAGATTAGATAAACAGTAATAGAGCAGACGTAGACCCAGATATGTTCATCTCTGGAGTGAAGCAGCAGGTCATCAGAGAGTAAATATTTGTGTTTATATTTAGAATCAAAAAGATTAGTTTATTCAAAGGTAAAGTTCAGTTAGATGTCTTACAGATTCCCTGTCATCTGAGGCAGCAGCACAGGCCTACTTTCACTCAATGATTCTCTCAGATTCGTTTCATCACACATCCAGCTTTATACTGTTTCAAGTCGATACTCATACCAGCATTTAAAATCTGCCCAGTTGGTACAAGGATGTCTATAATTTACTGGGTTATAATTCCTCTTCCTCTGGCTGGTTTAGTTTGTATCAACAAGCAAAAGGAGCTAGAAAAGGAGCTGCCTGAGGAGCTTGTACAGAGCTTTACTCAGAAAACATTTCATCATTTATATCATTACTGATGAGATTTCATTTGTTAAATGTGATGATTTCTTCACAACAATAATGTAAGGTTTGTTGTTTGTGGTTACTAATACTGATTTTCTCACAGGATAAACATGCTTGTGTGTGATTTTAGGCAAGTATGAATCTGATCACAGAGATTAATAAGTAATCAAAGCTGTGGACATGTGACTCAGTGACTTGCTGAGTTTAACAACTAATAAAAAAGCCAAATATCAGCTGATGATCTGTGATCTAAGAGGAGGATTAAAGGAGCAGGGGAGCAGAGACAGACTAAAGCAGAGTACTTAACTGTTCCGGAAACACAACCCAGCCTATGAGTCTGCTTGCTGTAGGTTTCTGTGTGACTTTAGGGAGATTCGGCGATAGAGCCGGCTATCTGGTTGCCTTCAGCAACAACAGACCCACCTGTTGGTGTGAAGATTTTTAAGGCCTCGGTATCCAACTCTACAAAATCCCTTTTCCAGAACTGACACGACACACAAAGTAACAGAGCTATTATTAGCAAAAGAAAGCCATGGAATTTTCCAACCAATCACATAGCTGGTCCTCAGTCTGACAGACAGAGAACCAGACACTCGTTCTAAAACACTCCCGTCCCACAGACTCCCCCTGGTGGCCTGATGCTACAGGCAGGCTCAGCAGAACAGTTATTACTATTCTATAGTATTTCTACAGTAAGATGTATAGCCAGATGTGCTGATGTGGGCCTGAACAGCGCCCTCTAAAGGCTAACAGCAGAACTGCAACTCTTATTTCTCTTTTATAATTCAGACATTTTTAGAGTCAGAACAGCTTTTACACATTAGATGCATTAATTCTTCCTGCAACACACTTTTTTTCATGAAAAGACTTTTATAAAGATAATCTAGAATGAAGCTAAATGTAAAAGAACATAATGTCCAAATGAGACACGACCCTTGTGTGAAGAAGAAGAAAATATCATTTCTATAGCGCCTCTCAAGATAAAAATCACGAGGCACTTCACAAAAACAAAAATTGTAAAAATATAAAAAAGTATTTAGAAAATGTTTAAAAATATATTAAAATGAGCAAAAATAGGCAATTGTGATTAAAAAATGTTAAGAAAGAGAGAGTGTGAACAGGAAAGAGGGAAATCAGTGGATCCTGAGGAAAGTGGAATAGGTGGGGAGAGCAGAATAAAGAGAGAGTGGTGAAGAAGGTCATACAAAAGCCAGCTTGAACAAGTGAGTTTTCAGCTGCTTTTTAAAGGAGACCACTGAGTCCACTGATCTCAGGCTCAGGGGGAGAGAGTTCCAGAGTCTGGGGGCCACAGCAGCAAATGATCTGTCACCTTTGGTCTTTAGCCTGGTGCTGCACAACCAGTAGGCTTTGGTCACTGGACCTCAGGGACCTGCTGGGGGTGTAGGGACTAAGAAGATCCCCAATGTAAGATGGTGCTTGTCCATGTAAGGCCCTATAGACCAGAACCAGGATCTTGAAATGAATCCTGAAGTTGACTGGCAGCCAGTGAAGCTGGAGGAGAAGCGGGGTGATGTGGGTGTGTTTGGAGGACTTGGTCAGAAGCCGAGCACAGGTGTTCTGAACCACCTGTAGAAGGTTCAGGGAGGCTCTGCTCAGACACGTGAAAAGAGAGTTACAGTAGTCTAAGCGTGAGGAGATGAAGGTGTGGAGAACTGTCTCAAGTTCAGAGCGGGACAGAATGCGACTCAGCTTAGCAATGTTCCTGAGATGGAAGAAGGAAGAGCGAACACGAGAACTGACATGAGAATCCAGGGTGAGAGCTGGGTCAAAGGTCACGCCAAGATTCCTGACATGGTGTGAGAATCAAGCTGTGTCCTCCTGTGTGAACATCCTGTAACCATCAACATCAATAATCCAGTCCAACATGTCAGACTATGCAGACTCAGGAAAAAGCAGCCATTTTGTTTTCAAACTAATCCATTCACTTTTGGAATAATCCTGGAAATATTCAGATAATCTGCTTCAACCTCTAGCTACATGTAAGAGGTAATAATGAAGTCATTCAGATTAGTAAACAATTACATATCTAATGGACCAGTATTAAAGCTGGATCATACAAATCAAATATGAGGTCCAGGTATGGGACGGCTGATAAGAGGTGAATCACAAGTCCCCTCATCTCTCTGGCAGACACTTTAATAACTTCAATAAATCACGTTGTGTACCTCCAGCTGCAAGGATATTACATGTTCAGGTTTATCATGAGGATTAAATAGTCTATGTTTGCTTGCAGAGAAGAAATCTGGCTGAGTAATCACCATGCTAATACAGAATCAACTCAAACGTCCGAGAGTGCTTTGGAGGAACATCTGGAGATGAGATGAGTCTCAAAAACAAACGTGATGGAGCAGATTTATTTTTGCCAAAGTAAAAAAAAGCACCAAAAAAACAAGGATGGCTTCAATCCATGACTTCTTCACAGTTCAATTCCAACAACTTCAGCAGATTTAGCTAACGAGTCAAATGGAAGAAGCTCGGATGCGGCGCAGACAGAGGTCAGCCATGCGGCTAATTGAAAAGACTTAAATGACTGCATGGATGGAGAGACTTCTAAGTTATTTATTACTGCAGCAAACAGGCTTCCTCAGCAAAATGGTACAGAGTGTGTCAGTGTGAGCTACTGCTTCAGATATGCTGCAACACTCAGCGTTTACATAGCAGCCAAGGTCCAAATCAAACCCGTACGCAAGCGGATCCATCACCCCCGCCTGTCTCACCCCTTCTGAGAATTATGATGACTCAAACAAAAATATCCAGATCACAATAAGGTAAAACCTAAAACTCCATTTAAATGTGACAAGCTACATCCATAACAGTCATCGAGCTGCTGAGCATTAAAAGCTGCATTTACAAACTATATATTAGAGCAAATGAAACCGTTTTGAACCCAGCGTCCAGAGGTCACTCACACAATCAAAGCTTATCTAAACACTCAGATTGGACCCTGTGTAGAATAATCTCATTAAAAACTTCCACAGTAAACTAATCACTGGCTTAAGGAAGTAAAACACAGACAAACCTGCAGGGTCATGTGATCCCAGTGTTTTGTCTAAATCAGGATTATGATATAAAGAGATTATAAACAAGCCAACTCATTTAAATCAAATTAAATTACAAAAACAAACATTTAGTTTGGGTTTTCCTCGTGTGACGGATGCATCAGCCTTTAACGGCTCCAAAATTAATCCAAATGAATTAAACTTAGATGTCTTTTTTATACCAGCAAAAATTAATGCAGTCTCACTCCTAGATGTGCTACATTATGTGGCCATCAGAACACACAGAGAAGCATGCAGCATCAAATGTATAATGTGACTCAAACCTTCGAGCATATGTAATCACTGCTTCAGACACATTTACAAATGAATAAATCTAAATTAGACAGTGATTTCCATCTCCTCTAACCTAATTCTTAAACCTCTGAGTAAATCTGAGTCCCTCCGTCTTGCATGGGAACCCCTCTCATCAACACTCACCAGGGCTGGGGGGGCTCTGCAGGCTTCCCCTCTTGTTAGACTGGGACTTAGCTTTAGACTTCTCTTGTCCATCGTTGGTGGAGGATGATGATGATGATGATGATGATGAAGATGATGACATCTTAACTCTCCTGTTACTACAGTAGCAGAGGGAGTCAGAGCTGCCAAGTGACCAGAAGGGGGGGAGAGGAGCACCAGCTCTTATGTTTGAGCTCGGTCTCATGGTGGGGCAGTGGAGCAGCAGGACCCATACTGAGCTGCTAAAAGCTCCTCTACAAAGTTGGCTCCTCCTCCTTCTCCTCCCAGCCCACAGCAGCTCAGCAGACATGCTGCACAGCAACGCACCGTAAAGCCGCCCGAGGCTTCCCCAGCTCCTGCAGGGGACCATCCTCCTTGGTTGTCCTAGCAACCAGAGAATAAGCTTCCTGTAGACATGGTGGTGAAATACAGCCACAGGAGAGGGCACGCTGCTTACATGACAGCTAGCCTAGCGACCAACTTCACCCCACCAGCCAAGCGCCAAGGTGGGAAAAGGACAAAAGTTTGTTCCGCTGGTCTAAAATTAGCTGATAGGTTCACAGACTAGGAATGTGTCAGCCAAGAAAAACAAAAGGATCCAGATGAATGCCTGAAAAAAGCTGAAGAAAATAGATAAAAGGAGAGTGGATAGCTCGGACACCAGACTAGTGAGCAGTGTGCCGCTGTCCTGCTGGAAAACTCTGAGGGGAGACCGACAGCACAAACACACACACACACACACACACAGCAAGTATTATAAATAGTGACAGCCCGTGTGCAGTAAGGGGCAGTAACACAAACCTATGAACGAACACAACCTTCTCTGTAAGTCAGGAACACAATCATTGTTTCTCCTTCGTCTCCTTTCAAAATAAAGTAAATGCTTTAAATGAATCTATTTTTAACTTCTGATTCAATCAAATGCGTCTTATTCCAAGTAAATGCACCACTGAAATAACACTTGATGCCACAGACGGTGATTCGTTTGGATGTAGTCTTGTTCACACAGCAGATAACATCACTGAGTTTTGTGTCTGATGATATCACTAACCCCGAGTGGATTTAGAACATGTATGACCTAAAAACTGGAGTAAAGATCTCCATCTAGTGGTAAAAAAGATGAGGCAGTTGACAAAGAATGTTTTCTCTTTCAAAGCTTAAGCTATCTGCTAATGTTGTGTTCTGCAAAATCAAAAACTAGGAGGCTAAATTGCCAGAAGTAAAAAAAAAAAGTCATACGAAGTTTTCACAGCTGATTTTTATCCATATGGCACCGTTTACATTGTCTATGCACTACAGCATCACAAAACTTACACTGGCCAAAATATTCTGTCCTTCAACTGGAATTTCTGACTGATCTCTAAGAACAAAACAGCAGATTAATTATTTTATTTCCATTTCAGAAGACGAACAAACTTGTAAAACAGCTTCTCAGAAGCACAATAACAAACGCTAGTAGCTTCCTGTCAGACCAAGAGGAGGAAGCTATTTCTGACCAGATTTGGGGAAAACATCTTGTTTCAGTGTGACTCCAGCCTTCTCTGAAATCTGACCTAGTTTTCTGAGTCAGCACTAGCAGCAACAGCACATAGAGAAAAAACAAAGGCCCTTCTCTTGTCTGAAAACCTAACTACTCCCAGTTACACAGGCACAGTTTCACCAACAGTAACAAACACATTCAGAGCTGCAGGAGACAGGATGATCACTGCTAGCTCCTAATCTTCTATCCTTGCTTCTGTCGATCACTCAAGGTTTTTGTATACACACACCCTTTTGCTAAAACAAGCCCAGTGTGTGTATTATTGGACGCTGAAGGATTTTTTTTCACTCTTTTCAAGCAAAGATGATGACATTCAGCACTTTGTTTGTAGAGGCCAAAAGCAAAGTGGAACTTGTGTGGTTTCTTTCTGCAAACAGCCGCTCTGCACCAGGTCTTATTTCTGCATTTTGACTACCTTAGCATTTGAACATTAACCTTATTGCTGCAGAGATCATCAGAATACTGATTAGTGGTGTTTGTTCTGGTCTTGAGCTTTTTCCACAATGGAGCTTTTTAAACATCCATCCATCTATCTATTTTCTGGGCAGACAGAGACAAACCACCAGACAGAAACACGCACCTAGGGCTGATTTAGAATCACTGACTGGCCTGCTAACAGGCCTGTTTTTGGACTGTGGGAGGAAACCAAACAACCCAGTGAAAACTCATGCACTGGGAGAGCATTTATCTTCCACAAAGACACATCCCAGCTGGGAATTTTACAATTTAACTAATCTAAAAGTGGATCAAAATGTGTTGTGACGTGCATTCTACATGTTAACCATCTAGCTTATGAAGCCAATCTGAAAGACATCAAACTTAAATAACTGAGTCACTCTAATATAAACATACTGGATGCAGGTTAAGAATTACAGTTGTTGAACACTAATTTAAATCAGTACATTTGTAGTGGTCTCTAGTAGAAATGAATGCCTTGTGAGTTGTAATCTGTGTGGAAAAAAACTCAGACGCATCTGTTTCAGGAAGTACAAGTCAGCTGACGGAGAAAGGCCCAATATCAATACTCACACTGCACCCTACACCCTTCTGTGAAGTGCACTTTGAGGAGGTACGCAGTACACACGAGTACACAAGTGTGCCAAATTGGGACACGGAGCATTGTGTCATCGACCGAGATGCATGCCGGGATGCCGGCCGCCGTTTGGGCTACTTTTAAACAAATCTTTATTGACAACTTTCAAACAAACAACTATTTGACGATTTTTTTATTAACTGCTGTGCATTCAAAATGAACGTTTTTTATTTGAAAAACATATTTTAAGAAAAGGTACTTGAACCATTGCTCCACCTTCTTCTCAAGGTTCCCGCACATCAATGGATTGTGGGTAATACCCTTGGCCCAAGCCAACATGCGGATGGGTGAAGTGCGGATCAAGGGTGCAAAAGGGGCGTGTTCAACTTTCGCACTCGAGAATCGAGACACCCTACGCACTTGCACCTCTGGACAGGAACGTGCAATTGAAAGACGCAAAGGTGGAAGTGCGAGTATTGGGACTGGGCCAAATGAGCTTCAGATGACAGGATTTGGAGTTTTTATTTCCTGATATTTGGACATCTTGCCTCTGATTGGCTAACAGCAACACGACTCTTCCACTGACTCCGTTTGCTTTGCAACATCAATGTTTTATCTCCACAAATAACACAAGGCTGAAGGGGTTCCGCTGTGTGTAGTGGAGTTGCTAATGCTAACAGTTAGCTTCTGCTAGCTGGACTTTCTCTGCTGTTTCCTCAACGCTCAACCAACAACAGCCTTTCCCGTCGTGAGTCAAGATGGTGAGTCCATGAATGTTAGGTGACAGTGTGACAGATGTCAGGCTTCTCTAATCCTAGAGTCTCACCATCTATTTTTTATCAGAAGCTAATGCAGGAAACAGATGTAGGAGACTATTTTCATGTTCAGCCTACCTGAAAAACTCAAGAGTGACTGATTATAACTAGAAATATTAATTTAAAAATGTTTTCCAGTGAATCCAACCTTTAAGACAACGTCTATGAAATCTGTATGAAAGTTCTATATATGTTTACAGTTTATATCTATTACACAATCATATGATTCACTAAGACTTTACCTTCACGCTTTGCAAGATTCAGAATGACATATCAGAAGCAAAACTGCTTATAGAGAATATTTTGTATTGGTCGGAGCCTCTGACGGACTGGTCGCGCCTGTGCTTGGAAAGCCTCGCCTCTGTCAGTGCGCACCAGGGCAGCTGTAGCTATAACTCATCAACACAATGGTGTGAATGTGTGTGTGTGTGAATGGATGAATGATACCCTGTGAATGCTCTTTGGAGTCCTCTGACTCAGAAAGGTGATATACAAGTGCAGGTCATTTATCATTCATTATCATTTTAGATAGAATATCAAAATTTTTATGGAATAAAAAACAATCAAAGTCAAAAACATTTGGAAGAAAATAGCCCAACCTATAAGCTGCTTCTGAATAAACATCTCTGTTCAAGACTGAATAAAGTCAATTAATAATCAAAATTTTTGAGAGACTAAGAAGCTTAATGCATAAAATATAAAGAAATATGCGACACCAAAACCGTCCTTATCTAAATTAGAAATGTTACTGTTATATATAAATATGATAAACCACATTTAACTCCATAAGTTCAGTGACTGTGTATGATTGCTCTAAATAAACGCGATAAATGACTCTAAACTGAAAAAAAATGACATGTAAACAACCTTAATTAAGCTTCTGGTCCTGTAATAATGTCTGATCTACCTGGCTGATTGGGGGGCTCATTCACACAGTCGGACATTGTTGGGACTAGTTTTCTGAGCGAAGGAAGACAGATGCTCCTCCAACACCGGAAACGTCCTGAAAAAGAGACGAAAACAGCACAATAGTTGGAAGTTGTCCTCACACAAATAGCTGTCAGAACGTGTATAAATACTACACATTTAATAAGCGTTTACGCAAATTTTCTGAATAAGGCAAGTTTAAGCTGGACTTAAAAGGCTCGTTTGTTCAGGACAGGTTCACTAAAACACTTGTTTCATGAAGCTAACATGACTGCTAGTTGCTGAGGCAAGTTAGCAGTTAGCCGTTAATCACCTCAGCTGTTCTCACGACCAACAGAATAGCCCTTTACTTTTTTATACAGAAAAACAAAAAAGGTACCTAAAACTGCGACTGTCACCTGTTACGGCTTCGTGGGGACTTTTGCTTTATTGACGGAAATTGGTCCGTTTCCTCCACAGAGAGCTGAAGCTGAAATTTTAAAGGAGCCGCCCGCTGTTTCAGTCGGGTTCAAAGGTCGACTACTGGACCTAAAACACACTCACGGGCGCGTGCTGATAAGGGCTTTTATCTCTGCTACAGATGTACTCAAAGCCCCTCTGGTGTGCGATAAAGGTTCCCATATGAATGCTTTTACACTAAACACCCAACGAGGAAATCAAACCGAACAGTTAGTTCTTGTTTTTTTAATACAATCTGAAAATATGCCACATCAAGTGGAAAGTTTCGTCTACTATTGTTTTTCTTTTTTTAAAGCACACAGCTGTTAATGTCTAAGTACATTTGCGTACTAAAAATTCGCCCTAAAATCAAACTATTTTTATTTCAAAGTTATACACAAATTAACGTAAATCAAGCTTCATTAAAAATTATGTATAATAAGTCATCAATTAAATTCTTGAAGTGATGGTAATCATTGAGTCTCTGCTCACAAAAATCGTTATAAGAGAGAGATCTTACTTTGAGACTTTTACATATTTATGTAATGCATGTTTTATTATTGACAGATTATTTTATCTGTGGCTGAAAACTGTGTCACGTTTTTGATAATTTGATGACGTAGGCCTAATTCTGATTAAATGAAATCTTATTTTCTCTCTGAAGTCCCGTTGATTTTGATCATTGTTTTTATTTAATTCAATTATATTCATAACATCTGATTTACAGTACCAAATCGCACTCTTCATAAAGAACAAAGGGATTAGGTCATTTGAACAGCAAACAAGGAATTTTCCCTTCAATCTGAAATCAAGAATATACAGAATGTTTTAGCAGAATCAGCGTTTTTGAGACTCAAGTCCACATTGCTCACCCAAACCTTTGGACAATAATAAACCCAGCAGATTAGATTTAGAACAATTTGTAAAAAGAACTACGTTTAATTTTTTTATGTAAACTCTACAAACCTTTAGATAAAGGCTGCTCGGCTGATTTGCTGTGGATAGGTAAGGGTGGATATTAATTCTTATATAAGCAGTGCTGCACCTCCATCTGATTTCAGGCTGTTTGCAATGTCATCTGTGCAATGTTTATCTCTCATAAAAATTATTAGTAAATTTTGATCATTTAGAAAAGTTTTGTCAGTATTAAAATATGCATTCCTAATCTAAACATGATCATTTACCATTATGTAAGCTCAAAAACAAAGATCAAAAACATCATAAAATAATCTGGTAGTCTTTCAAATATAATTTTAAGAAGTCGTATAAAAGTGTGTCTTGCAGGTTTCCCACTGGTGCAAGCTCCACCTCCCACCCACTGTACAGCTGAGCTCACAGAAATGTCACTGGGTAGTGATTGCCATGGGGATGGCAGAGCCTGCTGAAGCTGGGGGGGTTTTGACTGAGGTCCGTCACTGAGGTGCGAGGGCTGTCACGCACCAGCATCTCCTAAATGACAAAGTGGCAGGATGGAATTGATTACACTTGGGCATCTTTCATTTTTTCCTCCATATATAAATTTAAAAAATGTATGAAAATAAATTATTTGTTTTCTGATGAAGGTCCAGCCACCTCTTTGTCCTTTGAAGTGTAAATGTTACCCTAAGGTCAAAGTGTTTTAACCATGCCATCCTGCGCACTGGAATATCTACAGGAATCTAAAAGATTAGCAACAATAACGTAAACATCTACAGAAGAATAACGTAAAAACGGTTCTTGTAGGTTTCTGCTTCTGATGATTAAAATCTGAGCTGTTGTGAAAAATGGCAAACCAACAAATAGTTCCCGAGCGCAGCCACTGCTGCAGCTCTCTGCTGCAGCTCTCTGCTGCAGCTCTCTACGGGGATGGATCAAATGCGGAGATGGAATTTCACCAGTATGTTGTGATGACTGAAGGGTCTTTAAGTCCAACTGTTTGAATGGCCTCAGTTTGGATAAATAAAGAATTATTCTGACTAGACAGACAAGCTAACGGCTACTCAGACTGAGACAACGGCCCTCAAAACAACTTTAAATGTATTGCAAATAACATTTTTATAAACTTTTACATCATCTTATGTGTTATTTTTTACACGGTCGTTAACGTGGGGGATTAGGGTAATTTGCAAGTGCAAACAGCAGCAGGTAGAGCTTTCAGAGCAGCCTGAGGTACTTTTGACAGATATTTCATATTTCCACTAGAACGTAATGCACGATTAACGGTAAATGGCCAGAATCTGTATACAGTGCCTTCTAGAGTTCTAAAAAACCCCAAAGTGCATTTTAAACAATCACTGTTTCAAACGTACATCCACATGCTGGTGATGATAAGCTACAGTGTAGCCACAGCTGCCCTGGACTGCACTGACAAAAGCGAGACTGCTGTACACAGGCACCACTGGTCCCTCTGACCACCACCAAAAGCCACAGCGGGTGAAGCGCCTTGCCCAAGGACACAACGACTGCAACAGATATAATGCAAACCTGCAACCCTCCAGTTACAGGATGGGCACTTAACTCCTCTGCCATTGTTGTCTCTGATAGCGGTGACAGAACAGCTTCTAAAATAACGTCTGTAGCGTTTTTGAAACTGTAGCGGTTTTAAAATGGCGGCAGTCCACTTTGGCTTTGACCGCACTAGCCATTTGCTTGTCAATCCTGTCAGTATAAAACTCTGTTTCTCCAAACTGATGTTGTTCAAAGAGCTCCCATATCAATTTTCCACACTCTTGTCCATGGACGTAATTTTGGGGGGGGACAGGAGGGACATGCCCCCCCCACTTTCTCCAAAGTCAAGTCTTCACCCCTGCACTTTTTACCAATACTTTATATTAAATTGGCACTGGTTGAGCTCTAGGACCAAGCAGAAAACAACCATTTGTGTTGAAGCCTGTTTCCCATTAGAACATACTGTAAAGACCCCCCCCCACACACACACACACACACACACATGTCCCCCCCACTTCTAAAGTGAAAATTACGTCCATGCTCTTGTCACAAAACCCCACATGAAAACATCTGAACTATCCTTTTAGCCTCCAACCCCATGCACTCACACGAGAACATCAGCTTTTTGCAGTTTTCTTTCATTTCCTTCAACATGGACCTATTTTTATTGTAGACACTTGATTGAAATTCTAATTTTTTTAATTTTTAGATTGTTTTTTTATTTTAGACAATGAATCAGCATCACTTAATTCAGTTTTAAGCTAATATCCTCAGATTTCAGGTCTCAGAGGATTAAAATGGGTTCTTTTTTGTTTATTTAAGGGTTATGAGGAACCCAGCAATGTAGAGTAGCACACACACACACACACACACACACACACACACACACACACACACACACACACACACAAAGGTCAACGTACAAGTTAAACCTAACATTATGGAGGGTTTTATCGTTGGAGGGAGATAAAGTAACTCATACTTACAAACTCCACACAAAATTTCCCAGATGAGACTCAAACCAGCAGCCTTCCTGCTGCAAGGCATCAGATCCTTGCGGTAAAATTATGAGAGTGCACTCAAAATGTTTTACAAACTAGAAACTCTTTATTACAACAGCATCTCACTCAAGTTGGACCATGTCCTCTTTTTTTCTCCTCCAAACACATTAATATCAATTATCTACAATGGAAGTCATCCTGGTTCTCTCCGGGTACTCCGGCTTCCTCCCACAGTCCAAAAACATGACTGTTAGGTTGATTGGTCTGTCTAAATTGTCCTTAGGTGTGTGTGTGTGTGTGTGTGCGTGCGTGCGTGTGTGTGTGTGTGTGTGTGTGTGTGTGTGTGTGTGTGTGTGTGTGTGTGTGTGTGTGTTGCCCTGCGATGGACAGGCTCTCTGTCCAGGGTGTACCCTGCCTGATTGTCCACTGACCGCTGGAGATAGGCGCCAGCCCCCCCGCGACCCTACGTGGACAAAGCGGGTTCAGACAATGGATGGATGGATGGAAGTCATCCTGTTTCATACAAAACAATAATCACAGCCCCCAAATCTTAATTGAATATATTTAAACTCATGAACGTCTTTCACATTTTGTGATATTTTGTCGCAATGAGAAGAACCTCGGGGAGCTGTTGACGTTGGACTGGCACTGTCACAAAAACACCGTCTGAGAAAATATCCAAAAAACCCTGTTTCCAAAAACAATGATTTGTGTCGTCCAGTTCTGACGACACATTTAGATGTAAAACCCCAGCCTAAGCTTGCACCCCCGTTCATATTAAAACCTCAACCAGCAGGTCGTCTCTGCTGTTTCCTTACAATTTTAACATAATGTGCAGAAACGATGCCTGACAGAACACGCGTGACTGCAAAACATGATCTTTTCCTGCACTGAGGTACTGTAAAAACCCTGATCAGAACGGTAGTCAGCGAGAAGTAAAAGAAAGTCAAATCAAAAGGAAGGAAAATACTGCACCCTTGTCAAAAATAAAAAAAACTGCTTGATAACAAATGCTTACTCACCAATAGAAAATAAGATGCACGCACTGGCAGACACAACTCAAACTTACAGTTTTACTAAAAAATGAACACTGAATCTCACTGAGCAATGTAAGGAATGCGATGCAGCGTCTCCGGAGAAAACAGCTTTTAGGATTGAAATGTTTAACGACCCTGAAGCTGAGTTACGACCTATGACAAACATCAGATCTCAAATGCATTCTTTGGAAAGCTGATAAATATAAATGAGTTAAATAAATAGTTTAGGCTCCAAAATGGACACCTCCTGATGGTTTATTATGATCTGGCTTGATCAGTCAGCTGATGGAGGCCAAAGAACGTATCAACTCCCAGAAAATTGTGCATTTTATTGCTTTTATCTTTAAAACTATTCATGAGAATTTGTAAAGCCATTTGTCTTCTTTTAAGGATTAACTTTAAAGTGTGAGGCATTAGGAAGAGTGTTTAGTGGTGATTATTAAAGAGGATTGATCCACAAGCAAAATAATACAAAAATACAGAGAATGAAACCAATTTCAAAGCTTGATGGCAAATTAGAGGATTGTTTACTGTCTGCGTGAAGCAGAGTTGTGTTTTTGAACACACTGGTGTGTTTTCTCCCTTTTCACATGTAGCGGTTTAAAGTGCATCCCAACGGCATGACTGTTTCACCGTGAATCAGAAATTAAGATGCTAGAATTGACAATATATAGTAGACACTTTTACCGGAAGTGGAAAACAGTTTCCTGAAATGTTTTTAAGGTTGTTTTAGACCTTAAAGACAACACAGATCTAATTCTCTGTAAAGATGTGGTTGTTTTTTGCCTGTTCAATCTCAATAAATTCTGAAGTTTCCTCTGCTATTTGTCCAGGGATGCGGAAATCGATGGGAATGGGCTGGGCTGTCTCAGCTGGCTGGCACTGGGCCACGGGGCAGCAGGCTTCACCCTTCGGACTGGAAGTGCTGTGAGAGTTTTGAGGATCCAAATTACAGCCCGTGCCCTGAAGAAACTGAAGGAAATTCTCCTCTATGGATCCTTCGCGGCTCGGCAGCCTGTCCTCCACTTCAACCCCTGCTCTGCGGAACAAGCAAGGCAGATGCTTGCCCAGCTCCTCGCGGATCTGCCTGTTCAGACAGCCGTAGAAGAAGGGGTTAGAGGTGAAGCAGAAGTAGCCAATCCAGGTGACCACCTCCTCTAAGGAGGCCAGGGCAGCAGGCGGGCTGGCAGCCAGGGCGGAATACAGGTGGAATGTAAAATAGGGCAGCCAGCAACAAAGGAACTGGCCACCGACTGCTGCCAGCACTGCTGCAGCCTTTCCTCCTCCAAAGGGGCGCTGGGGAGTCGCTCTGTCAGTTCCAGTGCCCGTCCCAGAGCTGGTAACCATTATGGATCTGCTGCTGAGTGACTCTGACCGTTGGCGGCGAGGCGTTTCCATCCAAGTAGGAAGTGGTCCGTGGTGCATGGCAGCAACACGAGCCACTTTGAACATGTTGCAGTACACAACCAGAATGACCAACAGCGGACACAGGAAATACACCAGGGTGAAGAGGACCATGAAGGCTAAGCGGTTGGTCCCTCCCCCAGTCCAGTGTAAGGAGCAGCGCCTGTGATTCTGAGCAGGGGGAGGTGGGATGGCCCCTCCACCTCCTCCACCAACCCCGCTACTTTCCAGAAGAGGAGTTCTTCCACTTTGCAGGAACCACGCCAGCAGCGGCAGAGCAGACATGGCCAGAGCCTTGACCCAGATCCCCACTAAGACTGAGGCCACTAGACCGACGGTCATCTTCACTTCGTAGCGCATGGGATGGATGACGTAGTAATAACGCTCCACATTGATGACAGAGATGGAGAGAATGGCAGCGCTGACGAGGCACACACTGAGAAAGAGGTAGCTCCGGCACAAAGCCTCCCCAAAGAACGCTCGGCTCGAGAGCATGCCGAGTGGCATCAGCACCAGGGCAGCCAGAAGGTCCACCACGCACAGGTGGAAGACGAAGGCAAACTTGTGGAGCTGTGGGGCCTTCGCAATGACAGCCATGACAGCCACATTACCCACCACAGCCAGCAGGTCCATGAGCAGCATTGCCAGCAGGGCTAGCGACTGAGACAGGGCCCAGCCCTCGTACAGAGAGGAGGCAGACACGTTGGAAGTGGGCTGTGCAGGTGAGTGGGAGGAATTCCACACAGACTCCATTGAAGGGTGGGGTGAGGCAGGCGGGCAGGATCAGTCACAGGCCCATCACCCATCCTTCAAAACCAGGAAGTGCAGCCAGAAAACAGTGGATCGAAAATTAGGGCCAGATGTTGCCTTGTGGTCCTGATGGTTTGGTGGTCAGGAGGTTCTAGTGTTCTGATTCCTGCTGGTTAGGAGAACCTTCTCATCTGCTGTCGGCCCCAAACACCCTAGAATAAAGGAGGACAAGTGGAGCATTAAATCCGGGGATTTTCTTCAAACGTTTAGACTAATCGTTTGGATTAATTTTCAGAACATCCACATTTGTTTTTTTGTTATTCTGGATAATAAAGCAACTCCAAACCATTCTTCACTTTATTGAAAAGCTGTTCAAGCAAACTGCATTTAAAAGTTTATAACAAACTCATAGGCCCCACCCCTTTCTTCAGGCTCCCCCCTAGAGTAGTACAACACCAGCTTGCAACTGGTCAAAACTTCCAGAATCAACTCCGAACCTTCTCATTTTGTATGCTAACACATACAGCATGTGGTATTTTCATGGTGAAAAACTAGGCAGTTTGTAGCTTTCTTGCTTTAATCTTAACCTCAAAATCACAAAAGCTAATGCCACCAACAAAACGTCCAGATCACGAAACACGCTTCGTCCAGTCTGTCTGCTCATAGCAAATGTGCAGCACACACACACACACACACACACACACACACACACACACACACACACTGCTTCAGAGGAGCAGCTTGATTGATGGGTTATGAACCAATCTCTGAGAAGAGGCACCAGTGCTGGATGAGGATGAGGGTTCTCTAGGATTGTGTGTCGATTAAAATATTTAGTTTTTTTGACAAAATTTGTAAAAAAAAAATAATAAAAGTGTTGTAAAAAATTCTCAAACTGTACCTTTAACTAAATCCCTACATGTCAAATAATACTTGTTCCAGAATTTTGACTCAATTTATCTGAAAACCTAAAAATTTGCGAAAACTTCTGGATTTCTTTCCCGTTTTGAATATTCTGGAAAAACACTGATGAATTCAGCGTAGTCCAGTAGTGAATGAAATTACCCGAACTAATCCTAACACTGAAACTCCTTCTTCCACTGCAGCTCTTTCATAGTTTGTACCAAACCTGCAGTCCCTTACAACAAAAGACATAGCTCATACCTGCAGGCAGGCGCGCAGATAGGGTGGGGGACGGGGGGGGGGGGGGGGGGGGGGGGCTGTACCCCCCAGATTCAGATCGACCCCGATCCGTCCCCCCGCACTAAGGCCAGAAAGAAAACAAAATCGGAGGTTAAGCACTTGAAGCTCCTTTTTCCAATTACATTGAATGCGCCAAAGTGGTTGCTGTTAGGATGCAGGATGAAGCGAAAAAGGCGTATTTAAAAAAGACCAACAGTGTAAGTAGGCGGGACCGATCTGTCCGTTTATGCATGTTGGTTCTAGTTTCAGTACATTGTTGTCAGTGTTGGGACTTCCTCATTATAAGCGCTGAAGCCTCATTGCTGACTTTAACAAGTCTCATCTACAAATATGATCCCTCATGAAGTTACTACTTTACACCAGAAGATAGTGGAGATGTGTAACCTTCAGGCTGAGCATAGTTAGGAAGATTTGAGTTTGAAAAATGCCTCCTGCCGAGAGGCTCCCAGTCGGGGAGAGGAGGAGATGCGTGCAGCATGAGGAGCGCAAATATTAGATAAAACGTATAATTGCCGGCAGGTCTGGACTTTGTTGACTGATCACTTTGTCTGGTCATAACTGACTCTGATTATGAAGCAGAATATTGACTCTGATGAAGAAATTCACTCATCCAGGCAGAACAGCTCCAGCATCAGACAGCTGGTGCTGCACGAGAGGTGTGTGGAGTTTACAAGCTCCAAACGTTGGGTTTGATGTTGGTTTAACCTTCTCTGGGACGTGATGGATGTAGAAATGATGGTGAAAACACCGCAAACGTGACAGACGTAGCGACAATGTAAAAAAAAGCCGTAAAAAGAGGCAGATGCCGATGCGTTAGTATGGACGTCAAGTGTGTCACATAATCATAAAAAAAGTAAAATATAAATTTTCAAAAGAGATTTATATATTTATATATAAATAAAAACTTTCTAAATGTAATGAAAATTTCTAAATAACATAAAATACGAAGGAACATCTGTTGGTCAGGCTGATGGGAACCACTGCTCTAAGTGATAAGTGAATTTCGTTTTTTAAATGTATTTTATGTGCAGTTTTTTAGGGCTTTTATGTTTTCTGTAAAGATTGGTATGCTGAAAATCATTTAATGTTTTGCATAAAGCATGAGGTTTTGGTTAGTAATTGATTGGGAGAATAATGACTGATTTAAATAGTGGGGCACGTCTGTCAGTGCGCCCCAGGGCAGCTGTGGCTACATTGTAGCTTATCACCATCAGTGTGTGAATGTGTGTGTGAATGGATAAATGATACACTGTAGTGTAAAGCACTTTGGAGTCCTTACTCTGAGAGGTGCTATACAAGTGCGGATCATTTATCATTCATAGTGTTGATCAGGCAGAGCTTTGTAGCCAGCGTTCCACTGCGTAACGGCTTCAAACACATATATAAAAGTTAGTTTTTACGTAAACCATTGGAGGAAATTACACAAACTGACTGAGCTCTAGTTAAGGCGCTTGCAATAGTTTGTGTATGTGTGTGTGCGTGTGTGCGTGCGTGCGTGCATGTGTTTGGGAGAGGGTACATTGGAACTTTGTCCCCCCTAGTTTGAAAATCCTATCTGCGCCCCTGCCTGCGGGTGGACTTACTTGTGGTTATTGCTGAATATGACTTAGTTTGAGTGGTTTTTGGGTTTGAATGATAAACCCGAGGGTGTATCAGTCAAAACACACTTGGAGCATGCTTGTTGTCTGCTGCTCTACAGATACTTTTAATTCTGTCAGAGATGCAACAAAAGCCTGGGATGCTATGTGTCCCATTCAAAGCAATAACAGCACAAACCTGGGTATAAATCACAACGTTTCCCATCATCTGTGTGTGTGTGTGTGTGTGTGTGTGCGCGCGTGTGTGTGTGTGTGTGTGTGTGTGTGTGTGTGTGTGTGTGTGTGTGTGTGTGTGTGTGTGTGTGTGTGTGTGTGTGGCTCACACGGAGCTGCTCCCAGTTCATCTGAACCCTCCGGCCTGGTTTACTCATTCATGTGTTTGTCATAATTGAACGAAAGCCCTTATTGAGAAAGGCCACATTCCTTAAATATAAAAGCCCAGCTGAAGTATCTGTTGCACTCAGCTGCACATCAGCAGCAGCAGCAGAGAAAATGAAGAGAGCTAATTCACAGAGAATCAGACACAAGGAATGGAACAGATTAGAAAGGGAGCACTGTGCACTTGAATCGGAATATTTCCTGATGCATCTGTCGGCTGCTTAGCTCTCTGAGGATAAAAACCTGCTTTTTGCTCTTATTTTTGAGCTTCACTCTAGGAATCAATCACTGTACCTTGTAAACGGCGCTGAGGCACTTCCCATAATTAGAAGAGCCAGCCTCTGCTCCCATCCCTGGATCAGCCCGTGCATCCTTCCCCCCCTGGATGACTACAGCTGCAGCGGCAGGGAATCTTCTGAAAGGATGCTGATGTAAATGCTTGCAAAGACACCAGCTCCCTCTCTGCTTTCCCCCCTCCACTCACACTCAGTGACCGCAGAGATGGAGCAGGAGGCGGTGAGAAGCAGGACCAGAGCTGCTTCCTCCGCTGGGTCCTAGTGTTCCTAATGTTCCACCCAGCCGCCAAAAATAGGACCGGAACATCACAGAAAATGGAAGATATGGGAGATGTATCTATAAGGAGCACATGTACATGAACTTTTATCAACACTCTCAGGATACGTCTAAATAATCGTGCCTTCTAATCGTCAGATTTTTAAAAGATGCCCAGTTTTTCATTTTACTCACAAACCTTGAACTTCTGCATTTGTGCGCAATTCAAAGGATAGCTGAGGTTTTGCCAGGGGCTTCTGTAAAGTAGCTTTCAGTGTGAGTCAGTATCTTACCTGCGCTAGACAGAAGTCTGAGACGTTTGCATGGAGCGGTCCGGCTGGCAGCAGCAGCCTAACTGAGTGATCCCCGAGTCTGACTTAAACGCTCTGAATGTCACACCTTTACCCAGCGTTTACTCAGAACAGGAGAAGAGGGTTGCATTCCAAATCTGCTGCGTGGATGCTGGCTGATTTTAAAACTGCTAACAAGCTATTCCTTATTGTTTCAAGTCAAAGTGCCTGCTGTAAAATAGGCCTGTCGTGTGTTTACTTGTTACTCTGAAAGGGTCTGCTGCTCATAATCTCTCCCGTGATTTCCACATCATTAAATACAAATCATCCCGGGAAAAGCAAAAGAAAGATGAGAAAAACTGAGACTGGATGAGTTTGAAACCCTTCTCAGCAGGTGTCCTATCAGAATAATCCGTTTTCTTTGCAAGCATCACACTTTGTGGTTTCTCTGACCCATTTTCATCTTGAACCATCGTTTTCCACCTGCACCGTTCTGAACGAGTGGCCTTCATGCGACCTTTTGCAGGCCATTAAGTCATGAATGCTCTCTGATCTCTAATTCCCATATTTCTGGCTCCTCTATCAATCTATTAATTATATCAACAAAAATTTAATTAGCCATGTGATGCAAAGTGTGTCGTAGCACAAGCTTTCCTGAGACTAGAAGGCATGGATTAGGCCAGGCCAAAGCCTCCACACTACCAGCTTCTCAAACAGGGACTCTTGTTGCCACTGCTACAGTTCATCTCATTGCTCTGTCTGTGGAGGACAATGAAATCTGGGTTATTATGGATAAAGCTCCGCTGAAGGAGTGGGCATGGAGCTGTTGGGTCCTGGGCGTTTCATTTGCATTTGCAAAGTTCCTCACAATTAAACACATAACATTTGCATTTGATGGAAATCACATCTTGCCTCGCTTTCACCATTAAAACCCCCGCTGTGATTTACAGGGATGTTCACTTGTTGTTTGGTTAGTTTAGTTCTCTGACAGAAACCGAGGAACATGTTTGTGTCGAGGTAGAATTTATGTCTTCTAATTTAAAAAAAAAGAGTTTACCAGTTTTAATGAATGTTTTAGCCTGGACAAAAATAAAACTGAGCTGATTTTCATTGTTTTTTGAAAGTTAAAAGTCTCTAGTTCACTTGGAGTAGGTTCAAAACCAGAAATACATCAGTTACCAGATAATTTCACCCCTAAAAACTGAAAAATAAAATGTGATTTTTCCCTTGAAAGGTTTGAACCGTTCAGCTAATCAATCAAACACGACAGATCAGATTAATGTAACCATTTGAATATATCAGCAATATCCTTTCAAACCCTTCTGCCAGTTCCACTGAACTCTGGTCTCTCACAATCACAACTAATGTTGAATCCCGAGGATGTTTTCTGTTCGTCTGACTGCTGACAGGCAAACATCATCTCATGTGTCCTACAATAAAAAGACATGATCCATTTGGGTGCACAGACAGCGCTTACTACTGTTGTCATGGTGAAAGTGTATTAAGATGACACAGAGGAGAGAGGAGAAACGTTCTGGAGCACGGATGGGATGAAATGTAAAAAATGAGAAAAAGGTGCAGGTGTGTGGTGTCATCTCTGTGTGTTTGCATCTGTATGTAGTTATGTACGCTAGTGTGTGTGTGTGTGTGTGTGTGTGTGTGTGTGTGTGTGTGTGTGTGTGTGTGTGTGTGTGTGTGTGTGTGTGAATGTGAGAGAGCACACATATCAGGTGTTGACTCGCGACAAAAATAGCACAGTCTTGCTCGGCCAGTAGCACCAATCACTGCCACCACAAATACAATGGTTTCCATGGCAACTGTGAAAATAGACTCCACATTCGCACTCAGAAATAGCAAAAGGATGGTGCAGTAACCCCAGAGAGCCACCTTTCTCTCTCTCTCTCTCTCTCTCTCTCTCTCTCTCTCTCTCTCTCTCTCTCTCTCTCTCTCTCTCTCTCTCTCTCTCTCTCTCACACACACACACACACACACACACACACACACACACACACACACACACACACACACACACACACACACACACAGCTAATAATAACCAATCCCACACAAACAGCAGCACTCAGATATAAAGTCATCCCGTTACATTTAGTGAAACATAATTGTTGCTGCCTACACAAACAATCAACTCCAATTCAAATGCACTTACAGTGTGGGTGTGATGAGGCGGGGGCAAACATTAACCTGCCTTGGTGTTTAATAACAAAAAAGCAATGGCACAAAAAGAGAGGAGCGCTGAGATGGGCAGTACTGCAGCTGACACAAGTGGAGGAGAGGTTATTTACACAATCCTAACGAGAACCCGTCTCATTATCAGGTCATTTGTATGCGTAGAGAAATGTGTAAGAGCGATGCCGCAGCAGATAAAAGGGTGGATGTTGCCTTGGAGACTCTTAGATAAAAAAAAACTTTATAGCAAAGTCAAATTTATTAAGATTCAGAGCTTTTTCTAAAAGCCTGTACCCTTGGAAACAACAAGGAAAGAAACAAGCTTAACAGTAAAAATAAAACTGGTAAATGAGTCATTCAATGCCAACTTAGCAAACCCTCCATATTCATCTCAGGGTTTTCTGATTAACATCACTGCTGATAAAGATCTTAAAACTCTGAATTGTGTTTCACCACCTCTGGTAAATCTGTTAGTGGGGCTGAGGCCAACTAAACTGGGAGAATTATCAAAAGTCATTTTAAAATTTAAGACAATATGTTCATTTAGCATTATTTGATCCTGCAGGTGTTATATTAATGTTTTTATTATTATGGGCAAAATAATTTCAAATATCGCTGCAAGGTCATTAAAAAGCCACAATATTAGCATTATAATTATAATGATGTCAGAGTCAGAATAAGATTTGTCGCCATGTCGGTGAGAGGCTTATCTACTAGGAATTTGTTTCGGTGGCAAGGTGCAAACATACATTCAGGTCAAAGTCAGGTCAGGCAGTATTTACATTAGGATACATCAAATAACAAGAAAAGAAATATAGCCAGAAAACAATCATGAATGTAGGAATGTGGGTGACCGGGGCATTTCTGTGTGTTTTGGCCATTCATCGGTTGTTCAGGAGCCTCACAGCGGAGGGGAAGAAGCTGTTTTTGTGTTGTGAGGTTCTAGTCTGTAAGGACCTGAACCTCCTGCCTGAAGGTAGGGTTTCAAACAGTCCATGACCAGGGTGAGAGGGGTCAGCTGTTATCCGACCTGCATAGTTTAGAACCCTGGAGTTGTACAAGTCATGTACTGATGGAGGGCTGCATCCTGTTACTTTCTCCACTGAGCGCACTACCCGTTGCAGTCTTTGTTTGTCCCTGGCAGTGGCTCCCGCGTACCACACAGTGATGGAGGACGCGAGTACTGATTCGATGATGGCGGTGTATAACTGGATCATCAGCATGGTTGGCATGCAGAGCTTCCTCAGTTGATGCAGAAAGAACATCCTTTGCTGGGCCTTCCTGGTGAGGGTATTGATGGACACCTCCCACTTGAATTCATGGGTGATGGTGGACCCAAGGAAGCGAAAGGGGGTTCACGGTTGAAATCTGGTTGTTTGTCAGGGTTACGCTGGGCAGTGGAGCCGGTGTTCTCCTGACGTCTACAATCATCTCCACTGTCTGCTCGTTCAGCACCAGGTTGTTGTTTCTGCACCAGGATGCAAGGCGCTCCACCTCTCCTCTGTATGCAGACTCATCCCCTTCTGAGATAAAGCCAACGAGGGTGGTGTCATCCGCGAACTTGATCAGTTTCACCGTCTGGTGGTTTGAGGTGCAGCTGTTAGTGTAGAGGGAGAAGAGGAGAGGAGAGAGGAGCAGCCCTGGGGGGTTTGGGTGTCTGAGACTAAGTCCTGCACCAGTGTGGCCGTAAGTTTATAGTAACGCCTCCCAGGAGTCTCATTTCTCTGCATGTGGAAAACAAATGTCTGCACAAACGATGAGTTTGCTTTTTAGGTCAGAGTTCTGCAACCTGTGGCTCTTAATAGTGTAGCAATCAATACATATTAATTATGACCAATAAGACGTGAGGATTCCATAGAAATATGAAATATCAACCCGATTGATCTTTGAATGTTTAATCAGAAGATTCTAGGGTTCTTTGCTTCTTCAGGGACCATAAACACACTTCGTATTCATTCAGAGTCAGTATATAGTTTATAAAATTACTTAAATTCTTTTTCCTAAACTAACAATTTATACATGAGTACATATGTACATATGAATAATGAGAGTGATGTGGTGGATGTGAGATGTTGTGATAGAAGCTAGATGTTGTACCATACTAGGGATGTGTATTTTTGAAATTCTGGCGATACGATACATATCACGATACAGGGGAGACGATACAATATATCACGATATATTGCGATACGTTCAGTCAGACGTTACAAGCAATTTTTTTTACTGGATTTATTATAAGAATGTTCAAGAAACAGTCCAAACCGTTACGTAACATGTTTAACATGAAGTATCTGAACCATGATGGAGGGATTTACATGTCAATGGTGGAAACAAAACCTGTTGCACACTGCTGCCAACTAGCGAGTGGTGACTGAATTGCACAAAACGAAAAGAAAATACACAAATGTTTGCATGTAAATTCTTTCAAGAATTAGATACACAGCTTTTGAATATCGATGTAATAATCCCAGGAAAAAATATCACAATATATTGCCATAT